CCCCCCGCGGGGGGCCTGGGGAATTCTGGGAGTTGAAGTCCACACATCTTAAAGTCGCCAAAGTTGAGAAACACTGAATTAGATTGATACACTGCCTTTTGTTTGCAGCTCCAAGTGGCATGCCTTCCTATTTTCCTCCACAACCACCACCCTGTGAGGTAGGTTAGGCTGGCCCAAAGTCTTTCCTGGCCCCACAGCTGTTTGGAGAGATGCTCCTGTGCTTGGCTCAACAATTTAGCAGGCGGCTTTTCCAAGAATTCTGTACTTACCTGCAAAACTCTGCGGAATCCAGGATCCTAAATCAGCAACTTATTTCACACCACCTCTAAAGCTGAACCTCATTCCTGAAGCTGGCTCTTTTACAGATTTTGCCCTTGTCGAGTTTATGCTAAGGAATTTCTTTCTTTACTAAATTTATATGCTGCCCATCTCCCTCAGAATGGACTGGGCTCTTAGAGGGCTACCGAAGATTGGTTGTGATTGCCTGTTGATATTTTCTGTATTTACACAAACAACACACCAAACCGTAACAGGAGCGATAGGGTTGGGTTTGCATCGTATGCGTTCAGCGTGTTGCATGGCTGCAACGAATGGTCATTTTATCGGAGGGCTGTGTGCGCTGGCATTAAAACCTTTAAAAGAAAAGGACCTTTAAAAGAAGTGAACTCCAGCATGAGGTGTACTTAAATTCCCAAATTACAGTTAGTCCTCGCTTAACAACCATTCATTTAGTGACCGTTTGAAGTTACAACAGTGCTAAAAAAAGGTGACTTACGACCCATCCTTGCACTTACAACCATTGCAGCAGCTCCATAGCCACATGATGAAAATTCGGGTGCTTGGCAACCAGCTCACACTTATGATGGTTGCAGCATCCCGGAGTCATCTGATCATCGTTTGCAATCTTCCCAGCCAACTTTCAACAAGCAAAGTCAATGGGGGAAGCCAGATTTGCTTAACGACTGTGTGATTCACTTAACGACTGTTGCAAAAAAGATCGTAAAATCAGGTCCAATTTGCTTAACAATCGCCTCAATTAACAACTGTTTTTCTGGTCCCTATTGTGGTCATTAAGCGAGGACTACCTGTATGCTAAACCTGATTTTTAAAACCAGGGAGTGCTGACGAAGCCAACATACTGTGCATAAACCAGGGTTTCTAAATCACTCCAGCTATGATCCCACAACGCATTCAGCCAGACAAACCACAACCTGGCTTTGGGCAATGTGTGAATACAAGCCACTAGTCCCTAAGAAATCAGCCAACAGGAGAATGCTACATTGGAGATGATGGCTGCACATTGCAAAGTCACTCTTTGGGCAGCCAAAAGCTGCTATCGAGGTTTTATGACTGAAGGAGCAAAAAGGGTGGGCAGAGGGGGGCGGGAATCTTTGCCCTAGGGCCAAGGGCGCCAGAAAGTGGGCAGCGGGGAGATGCTTTTCGCTGATGCATCACTTTCCGGGGGGTGGGGGTGTCTCTGTCGGCTCCCCAGGTGTCCGGTGCTGGAGGAAGGCGGGTCTGGTCTCCGGAAAGTCCTGCTGAGCTGCACCGGTGAGCAGAAAGCCTCTGGGGTCCAGGCAGGGGCTTCCTCAGAGGAGGAAGAGCTCGGAGAAAGCGTGGAAGAACTCCAGTCCTGGGCTGGCGGTTCCACCATGGCCGTGAGATAAACGCGCAGCCCCTCCCATAAGTGGCTCTGGACCGACGGATGGGCGTGCTGGATGAAGGCTGCCAGGTGCCCAAAACACGCCCGGAATCCCATGGGATAGCAGGTCTGCAGGCCGCTGTCCTCCAGGGCATCCTCTCCTGCAAGAGTGGAATTGGAGAGCCGGGGAGAAGGCTGGTCACGCCAAACCCGAGGCCGCTCAGCCCCAACCGCCCCGGCCCCAGGGACGGACGACTTCTCAGCTTCGGAAAAACGAAATGAACGGCCAGCAAAAAACAGAAGCCGACCTCAGGCAAAGGTGGGAGGCTTAAGGCCGGCCATCCCCAACCTGGTGCCCTCTGGGAAATTTTTCCCCAGTGACATGGGGATGGGGGATCAGACGAGAGAGTGGGCAGAAAGCACTAAAGCCAATCAGAGCTAATTTTTCCTTCTTTATTAATAAATCGCTCCTGCCCACTGCTGTTGTATTTGCGTGAACACACAATACTATGGAGAGAGGGGCGTGTGCACTAATCGTGCCCTGGAGATGATTCCTCTAATTTCTTACTCTGCACATCCTCTAGTGCAGTATTTGTCAACCTCAGCACCTTGAAGATGGGTGGACTTCGACTCCCAGAATTCCCCAGCCAGCATGGCTGGCTGGGGAA